ATTGTACTACTTATTATGATGGCTTCTTGCTAAGAGTATTACCTAATTTAAAGCATTTTTAACCTCCTAATTTAGTCAGCCTATCTTAAAATGATGTGATAAATGTGAAGCTAATTAATTATTCATGCTCTCCCTATTAATATTCTTAAGCAAATTACAGCCTAATTGTGCTAAAATTTCGAATAATTGACCCTATATGCTGCCAGCACTTGTACAAGATCCTAACATATATTAGTGTTTAATTGAGACTTTTATATATCTGCACTGTTAATAGCTCTACTCTTATATGTTCTAACTATGCAACTTAAATTCATTTTAAATAATGTAACTCCGAAGTTTTTGAAATATGGAGTGAGAGATGAAATACGAAACAGCATTATAAACTACAAAGACAACATCCCTAAAAAATTTCATAAATATTAAAATTTGTAAGCTAAAATGCACAAGTACCAAGAAACATCCAAATATATAATTCTAATTGCACCAATATTTATCAAATACATTTAAAGCAATTTAATCTACTTTTAAATAAATGCATGTAATCAAAATTCTATAAGTTAGTCTTGTTTAAGACATATATTTGCTATTATTCTATCAACGAGAAGTAACTTTATCAATAAATAACTCCTATTTGCCAAAAATAACTCAAGGGAAGGAACAAACTTAATATGTATTATCTACCTTAAGAACGAACCAATAATACAATTAATAAATGTAGTGACGTTGACTACGGAAGCTTAGGAAGTCGAACATAAATGCAGGCACCAGGATCTAGTAAGGTTTCCTAATAAATAACCAAAAATATTAAGAAACAATAGCTGATGCAGCTTTTTTATTGACAAGTTAATAAGGAGTTGTTGCTGATAATACAGTTTAGGGTCTTATTAAAGTCATATAAAATAAGATGTGAATTGCAGGCATCTTTCATCCATTACTTCAAACTCTACGTTAATTGTCCAAAAAAAACTGAGGATATCCACAATTTTTCTTGTTAAAGCATATTGTATTGACAAAATTTTCCTATTTGTCTAACATCTTCAGAGCTTTAAGTGAAAACTTTAAAGCTTCAATTACATTTAATAATCATTGACTCTATAAAATTAATCAAGTGAGACTGACCTTGTTTTTTAATCATTTCACGGCCTACTCATCCAATAACTTAGAGTTCCACTCTGAAATATAATGTTAATGAGCTCCATCCTAATATTCTTTTGCAGTCTTGCTCCAAACTCTTAAAACAATTTAATATTAAAGTCCTTACTCTATATTACTAAAGGTCATAGAGGTTAATTTTTAGTTTTGGCAGTTTCAAATTGATCCTCAAGTATCAAAATAATACTTAGTGACGATTGGTTTCTTTCATTAAGACAAAATACTTATTCTCAAGGATACTTTCTTCTTTGAGTTCTAGTAGTGCCTGGATTTCTTTTAATAGCTCGTAGTTTTGTTTTCCATCTTCTTCCAGTTTTCTCGGTGAGTATATGAAACTGTCTTAATTGATATCATGGATAACTACAGAAAAGCAAATGTTAATAAAGACTAATATTTTGCTCAGCAATCTAATCTTATTGCAGATCTAATTGCATGGCTAGCATGAATTAGAATTAACCATATAGAAACCTCATAGATATTGTAAAGAAGTGCCACCATTTATTGTATCAAGAATAAACGCTTAGTGTACTACTACAATTTCGAAAAAAAGTTTACAATCCTAGTTTCCAACTTTTTTGGTGATATAGGTTATATTTGTTAGGTAACGTTAATAATAATTCTCATATCCACTTATTTTACTAATAGAACTTGTAAAGATTCTTTCGGGCATAAATTTTATATTCTCGAGATTATCCTTAAGGTTTTTGAAATGGAGAAATTATTATCACTTATTTTAAATAATTAATATTTGGGTACCTGAGTAATATATATATTACTTACCACTCTTTCAAGGTATGTCTAAGCTGTGCTAAACATGTAAGACTATTGAAACAATTTTGACATCATTGAGAACATTCCTAATTGGCGTCATTTACATACTATGCACACTGTTTTGCTGTCAGATTTGGTATATCCTTTGACAAAAATAAGGAGGAACTTGAATGAAATGGACTTCATGAAGTATTAGAGGTGTCAGAAAATCTCGATGTTTTTCTAGCTATTTCAATAAGCAAGCTATTTTCCTTAGTATAATCCAGTGAAACAGATCATATTTTGGATCAGCACATCATTTCGCATGTTAATCAACAAACTCTTTTAGTCTAGCCATCATCATATAATGTCTTTGTGATAACGCTTCCAGTACAGTTTTAGAAGAACTTTAATAATTACATGTGAATCATACTGAGTAGCTATCCTAAATCCCTCCTTTGTTTTATGTCAGCATGTCATTTTCTAAGTATTAGTTTATCCAATTTCAAATACATTTAGTGTGGATTACCTTCCATATGCTGGATGTAATAATTAATTTGAGACCTCAGAGGTTTGAGTTAGACAATGAAATCTAGAAGGAGCAGAATATTGAAGTGCATTGATTTCAAAACCTCAATAAAAAAATGAATTCAGGTATGCATCACTACCAATCGTTGCAAACAGTATGATGCATGCCCTTCAGGATATACAGTAATAGTATCAGAGTAATAATGTATAGATATTTTCTTTGAATCTGTAAGATAAAAGAGACAGTTACTATTGTTAAAATCATAGCCATCAAGACGTTTTGAATCTACAGTTTTTGCAATTTTTTAGGCATTTAAAACAAGAGCCTGAGTTTGGAGAATAAGGTTTTTAATCTCCATTATAAAGGTTATACAAGCCCTTAAATTTCCTACTTTTAAGAAATAACCTTTCAGGTAAAACAAATATCTAGGAATATTGCCTGACTAGTATTCTTAGAAAATTATATTGGACAATTTGTAGCTAAAAAAATTACATGTTAAAGTTAAGTCCATTCTGTTGCTGTTAATATAATATCGCAAGAAATTATCATAAAGAGCTGGCTTTATTTCTCCAAGCAAGGCAAATAAAAGTATAAGTTGGACATGCATTATCTAACATAGCCAACAACACAATTATACATAAGGATAACCAATTCATCGATATCAACTCATGAATAGTTATGATCATTGCAGCTCGTAGGTCATCTTTGTAAATCTGCAGGAAAATAGCAATAAATGCATTCTTAATTTGAATATAATGCATCAAGTAAATGTAAAATGAATTTCGACAAAATTAATCACACAAGCCTAGTGACAGCTAGATCCTAGAACTGTTCCATGCAGCTCAAGGATAAAAAAAGATAATAAGCTTAAACAGAACTTTAATTAGGTTTCATAATTCTTTCACTTTGATGTGAGCAATAATCCTGTTTGGTATGGAAGGTTATGAATTAATCAGTATTTCAATAGGAAGAATTATTTTTACGTTTAATGCATCTTATTTGGAGTTGTTGCAACCTTTGGGTTGTACTTTTGTATGAGACTTTTTTGAATCCATTCTGAGATAATCATAATACATTTTGAGATTTGTACAGAGGGCTAGCTTAAGACTATTTTCCTCTTAGCTCCAACCAATTATTTAAAATAAGATAGGCACGCTGAATGAAGAATTATATAACCATAATAATAATCTTCTAGTCTAATTTATTATGAGGGTTTGGTTATAAAATCTTCGCCATTATTTTTGACAATAATTATCAAATCTATTGAAAAGATCTATTTCAAGGCTGTCCTAAATAGGTGGCTATATTTCAACAAATAAGAGTGATTCTACTATTGAGAGTGATTTACCATAATTACTTTCAATTATGGTGAGTAGAATGAATTTAGGATACAGTGATTTTCCTACAACCTTGGTTTTCTCAAGGGAAGCTAGGAGGTCAGCATGAATCTAAGTCTGTTTCTTTGACCAGTGTAGGGGTTTTGGTAATCTTTAACTTTTTATGCTATTCCTTAATAAAATGTTCACTTCATAGTTTTATTATTTGAGAGACATATTTACTTGTTTAAATTCATTTGCTGCTGATTTCTCTTTTTTCAGTATTTAATATCTTGTGCTACCCGATACATACTCTGCTAGAACAACAAATAATTATTCAATGCTTGCACAAAATCTTGACTTGGATTGGTCTTCTATTGAAAATAATGCAAAATCTACCTAAAATTTAAATGCTGACTTCACTGTGAAAACAGTTGATTGCCTAAGTTGAAGAATCACAATTTTATACAGATATACGTTATAACCTGACAATAACTAGCCATTCTTCTGAACTAACCTTGTAGTTTTACTGAAGTGTGCTTCACAAGTTGGAGATAAATATGCTCCTGTTCGTCTTGTTAAAACTTTCAATGTTTTCTTTATGTAATGTTAAGCAGGATAATAATTTTTATGTAAAAAATTATGAACTGCTTCATCTCAATGCACCACTGATCTATTTTATGTACTTTAAGGTTGCTTAATACTTTCTCCTTACCATCATTGTACCTATGGGGCAGTAATTATCAGAGCAGAAGTAATGGTGCAGAATGCAGGTTATGAAAGAGATACCAACTAAAAATGCAGCATTTTAGTAGCTTGATTGTTGTAGGTGTCAAAGAATTTCTATCATTTTTAAGATAGTGTTTAAAACAGGAGTAATAGTTGCTCATCCTGTATTGATACTTGTTATTTTAGTCCCTATTTTGGTTGCAGTGTTAATTCCCTACTTATTTCCATTCCTTTTTATATTGATTGAGATGCCTTTGACTTACAACTTAATGCGCATCATTATGCAAGTCCGAATTAAACCCATACTTAAGTTGCAAAGGCAGATTTTTCTAAAACCATATTTTGCTACCTGAAAATAAACGTATTGTAATTTAAAGCAATTTTAAAATTTATCTGCCTACTAAATAAATATAGATGGCAAATATCCATGACCTTAAATCGATAGTGATTATTCAAATTCCACTCGTTGTATGATATGCTACGATCAAAGCTCTTATACTTTGTTTAACTCTTGAGCTATTATTGCTATCTGCGATTGAATTTCATAATTTTATTCTGGCTATTTCTTCAACATAATCGTCATATGCTTACAATTAGTGCATCTGAGCTTCTTCATATTAGTCTTAAGGTTAACTTGAGGTATCAGAATTTCACTTGCAATAGCATCGGACCAACGTTTTAATAGCCATTATTGGCAAGAAGAAATTCCTCAACAATTCCAACTTGAAATCAAAATGGGCGTGGGATGGGTTTAGAAATATTTATTCCAGGTATGCTTAAAATTATTGCAAACTAGATATCATTCTCTCTAATTCTTATCTTTAATATATAAGCCTTAATTTAAGAAATATTGTATTAATATAAGGGCATTTATTAGATCTTTCAGCTGAATTTAGTCTTACTCACACTTGATTTTCAATTCTTTAGCTAATTTCCATTGAGTCATTGAAGGGATCCTCTGTTAACTAGATAGGAGGTGGATTTTATTAGTCAACTATGATTTATCTCACTAGTTCTTAATTCTATCTATCTAGGATTTTCTTCTTAGCCTTTTTGTAAGTGGTTATTAAATTTTTAATGATATATTAATCGTCCACTCTACAAATGCCCACCATACTGAGAAGTTGATTTGTAATATCAAGAGAATTTACATGTTCCTCATTATCAATTACTTTGGCTGAGTAGAACTCTTAGTGTAAGTTCATAATTCCTTCGGTACTGATAACTTCTCTCTAAGCTGATTTATATTTTCTAAATCTCTTGCAATCATTTCACTGCTTAAACAAGTTCGAATTCTTTTGTCGATTTGATACTCAAATTCATCTAAGTCAAGAGTTATGCTTTAATATCTATCCCACAGGCTTTATAATCGATCAATCTATCCTCTCAGTAAACTTAGTACGATGAAATCTCATTCCACCTCAAGTGATAAATGCATTTCTATTTACAGATTAATAATATGGAATTAAAGGCGTTTCTTCATTATCGAAAAGTTTTTCAGTTAATTTTGACTAATTCTATCTCATTTATATTATGAATATTATTATTTTTTCAAGTTACTTTTAGAATAAAATAATTGTCTAAACGTATTACTTAGTTATTTAATTTTTAAGTATATTTTATTCCAGGCATTTTAATTGATCATTTTTGTTAAAAATATTCATATGCCCCCTAAAATAATAAAATGTTTAATGCAAAGGAATTTATCATCAATCTGTCATGTCCGAAGTTTGGCATGTTAATATCCTTCACTTATTAAACTAATAAAAACTTAGGTCATTAAGAGTCATTGATCTTTTGAATCCATCTTGGATAAAGTGAATTCTACAGTCGCGCTCAGTCTCTTTTTGAACCAAATTGTAAGAGGGCATTTAATTTGATGCAGGAGATACTCCTTGAGATAAGTCATAAAGGAGGAGAAATCATGCTGTCACTCCTATTTACAAGATGTATAGTCTGAATTCAAAGCAGAAGATTCACTAAAGTGGAAACTAGAATCCTGAAAAATTTCATTAAATTTTTTCATCAAAGGTTTTTTTTAATTCAAAACTATCATTCAAGGAATAAAGTCCTTGCCAAAAATTATGGAAGTTATGGTATCAATACTGTGTCTTATTTCATCTTCTTTTAGTAGCTTACATCAAAGATTCTAAATTCAAAGACTGTTATTAGGTAATTAATTTATGGTGTAGAGTTAGTTGCAATATGTGAATTTGACTGCTAGATTTATAGGCAAAAATTATTTAAGAGAGAAGTTAATTTGTTTACTTTTAGTTAACAAGAAATTGATGAAGGTTGTGAAAATGCCATTTATAAAGAGAAGGACAAAAAAGTGCAGAATACATTATATTGGATCTTGTTTCTAATAATCATGCTTTACTGCTCTTTAAATCTAGATAACTATGGATAAGCTCAAATTACTTTAAGAAATGTACTTTAATAAAAAATATATTATGGAATTTGTTATCAAAAGTGAGTAATCTCCTCTTATTAAGGAATATTGGTAATAAAATTTTTTATCAAAAGCATACACGAAATCACTTAAAGTGCAGCCAGTGATGTAATATACGACGTTAAGGTAATTTATAGTGATCGTAATTATATTTAATACGTGTTAAAATTGAATATCTTTTTAGTTTTCAGAAC